ATTTTAATGTTAATATTTAATGAAATAAATCATCGAAATATAACATATTATTAATTATTCATTGATTAATAGCTAATATAAAATTAAATAAAGATGAGATGATTTTAATCATGACGAATTCCAATCCAAGCTTTTTATTAAGACACGAATTTATAATGCCGACATGTTTAATTTAAAGAAGATTCATGTATTGATTCATTTCATAATGATCACAAGATTCAATTGCAGTTGAAGAAATATTTTCTAGATTTCTTTTTCCTATGTCACAAATCTCTTGTTAAAAAGTGTCGATTTATGTATAGGACTTTCCAAGATATGACATAAGGCAACGAAGAAATTATTTTTCTTTCATAAAAAAGGGAATAAAGTACAAAATCGAAATGATCATAATTGTTTTTCATTATTTTCTTTTGAATATACTTATTTTCCATTGTATATTTTAAAATCATATTCCTAGGGGAACTTTTTTTTCATGCTCTTGAACTGCACAGACCTCAAGATTTGTCCATGAACGCATAAAAATCGTACGTATCAGCATTCTTGAAGCGTCCAACTAGAATAGAATAATAACAGTAAATCTATTCAAGATGAAAGAATACTCTTCATCACGTAAGCTGTCTGAGACTAATAACTCCCGTCGACTTACCTTTAGCCATGTATATTAAAGTGCATATATTGTTTAGATTGTAAACTTTTATCACAAATATATAACACGTATCAAATTTGAGATGCTTTTCCATTGACCTTTTCGCTTTTCAATGCACTCTTTGTGTTTATATTTCGAGCGTAAATGTTACTTACGTGTCCTTTCAATTATTTAAGGTGAAGAGAAACATGAAAAAATTTACAACTCACTCCTCGCTTTGAAAAATTGACCAGATTTTTTGGTCATCACAATATATTAAGTTCTTCATTCTATTATCTGAACAAATAACTTTTATACATTATCTAATAAATCCAACCATTTGTTTTTTTATTATTTCTTTTGTGCTCTATATTTTGTGATATTGTTTACAATGAAATCAATAGAGATGTAATGATGATGATAACCGGTACTATGGTTGCCAATCTACACCGATAACTGGTTTTTCACCACTATTCATCATGAAAGAGAATTTACTCTTATAATTTCTCAATTTGACGTTTGTACTAAGGAAAGTGTTTTTTTTTTCGGGAAAATATTGATTTTCTATAAAGTTTGACCAAAGGTAAGCAGCAACGATGAATCTGAAATTGGAATCAATTTCCTAAAATTGTATGCTTTATTTTTTGGCCTACTCCTAAAAGAGGTTTTTTCAAGTTTGAAAAATACAGCATGAGGTTTCTCGATTCCGATTACCTTTGGTCAAACGTTATAGAGAATAAATATTTTTCCGAAAAATACTATTTTTAGTAAAAGAAAAAAAAAGAATCAAGTTAAAAAATTGTAAGAGTAAACTTTCTTCCATGGCGAGTGCCAGTGAAAAATCGGTTATCAGTTTTGATCGATGAAACGGTAACGATGTACCAGTCAATAATCATCACTATTACTTCTCTAGAAATCAATCATGGTATCTATATTTTTATTCGTGTTTCTTATACACTTTTGGCATTGAAACAATTGAGGACTATTAACATTTATATCGAAGAAACGACTAAAACGTCAGAACAGAAAAGATCTCCAACACTCAAGCATATTACATGAGCAAGAACTCAAGCGCGTGAGTAAAAATTTTAAGCAATGAAATAAGAAATTCAAGTTCTTGAGTTTAAAACGAGATCTCAAGATTTATCCATAATACATGATATACTTGTTCCAGAAGCTCAAGTATCTCATGCGCATACCATAAGATGTTTATCTAGGGCAAGAGATAGATTATTTATGAAAGAAAGTAACTTTTATCTCAGACTTAATATGATGATATGAAAAATTCCTTTGATGTTTTCCCTATCCTAATAATAGTAATTAATAATTTATGTGGGACATCATATCCATCTTCTTAAGAAATGGTAAGTCTGTTGATATATACAATAGACGTGGTGCTATATTTGCTCTTAACAATAAACATTTGTTTGTGTTTATTATCATTTTTCAATGTATTTCTTAGTTTGTTGTTTTTACATAAAACTTCAAATCATTATATAATGAAAAAAAAAAAAGAAGAAAAATCAAATCTTAACACATACACAATATATTCATTTTCTTTTCTTTATTGTGATATGTTTTTGTTTTTCAAAATATAATTACAAATTGATATATACGTTTTCTTTTTCAAATTTTTTATTTATCACAAAAATAAAAATAATTTATGTAAATTTTGCTCTTTAGCGAATATAGCGATATATAATTAACAAAAAAATGTTTATGATATGTTTCTTAACTTCTCTTTCTTCGTTTTATTTTCTATCAAATCTATATGCAATAATAATGACACAACTGTCGAGTCAATTCATTGAAGAGATATTCTTATTACATATACACTGGTAGCCTTGACAAAAGCTAATATGCATTATAATTGACAATGTTTCCTATGTTAATGTTTTTTTCATTAATTTATTGTGCTTTTAGTTTCATGAATGTTTGTGTGCTTGAGCTATTTCGTAATCAAAACCTAATGTATGTCATCAATCATAATGTAATTATTCCTGTCAATATTAATTTATTTGAAGATGAATATTTTTGTTAAAAGCTAGTAATACATTATTGTAAAATGTCGAAAAATGATTAGAAGGAAGATGAACGAAAAAAAAACCAGTTTCATTCTCTGTATTATTCTTTAAATATATTCTTATGTTTACTTGATCTAGAAAGTTCAGGATAGTTGTAGAATTTATGATAATCCAAGGATAACTGCGATAATATAGATGCAGACATATGACGGTGTCGACAAGTCCTTTCAATTATCTTTTTCTATAATTAGAAAATAGATATTTCTACGTGGATGTTTTCTTTGTTGATATCTTACTCTATGACAGATAATAAAAATGAATTTCTTATTTCTACGAAAGAAATTAACTATCTACCCTGTTGTTGTTTACTCCTGTAGTTTTTATATCTATAATAAAGTTTGTATTTATGCAAAAACTAGTATAATTTTTTTAAAACTAATTTAGATAAATATGGCATCATTAATGTACAATAATTCATCTATATCATTAACTTCAAAAGAATTTCGAAATGAAATCAAACGATATCTAGCAAATCTTAATTATACACTTTCATTTGTTCAAATATTCATTGTTTTATTTGGTGTATTTGGAAATATTCTTGCATTAGTTGTTATTAATAGAAAATCATTAAGAAATACATCACCGAGTGTATATATAACATATTTGGCAATATTTGATAGTTGTGTTTTACTTTTACATGGTGCTAATTTAGCAAGACCGGGTCGATATCTTTTTATTCATTGTTCATTAACTTATCTTACAGATTTAGCAACATTTTGTGCTAATTGGATTCTTGTTATTATAACATTAGGTAACTATTTTATTTTTAAATAATAGATCAAGTTTAAATTTCCTGATTTTTCTTTTGCTTTAGAACGTTGTGTTGCTGTATCTTCACCATTTCTTGCTAAACGTTTTTGTACTGTAGATTCAGCTCGTCGTTCGATCTATATCTTCTTAACGATTTCAATCATATTTTTTTCTATAACATTTCCATTTATTTATGATATCAAACGGACTTCTAAAATTAAAAAATGTGTTATACGTTCACATTTTGTATTAATTCTTCGTATATATCAAGTAATATTATTTTATGCTATACCAGATGTACTTCTTCTATCAAATTTATATACTCTTTATGCATTATGTCAACGAACACAACGATTTTCATCAGTTTATTTAAAAGATGAACAAAAATTAAATATGCGTAAAAGTGATATTAATTCAAGTGGTAAACAACGACAATTAACAATTATGCTTGTTACAGTTAGTTTATCATTTTATTTATTTACAACACCAGCAATGATCTTGTTTATACGTGAATATCATCCAGTAAAACATCATGATATAAATAAAATAAAACAAAATATTTTCTTTTCACAAATGTCTGTTATATTATTACAATTAAATGATGCAGTAAGTTTAGTTTAATAAATAGAATATTCTATTTTTTTTTATTTTTCTTTCATCATAGACAAATTTTATATTTTTTTGTTTTACTGGTCAACGTTTTCGTCAAGCAACTATACAAACATTTTATGAATATTCAGAACGATTAAATACTTTTTATCATCGATATATTTTATGCAATAAACAATATAATTCTATACCTTCGTATCAAAATCATTTAAATAATTTTAGACAAACAACCACAACTATTCGTAATTCATATGTTCCATGTTATAATCAATCTCATTATAGAACATCGATCATATGATTATCATTTTTGATATTCATTTGGGAAAAATCAAAAAAAAAAACGGATTCAAACACAAACAAAAGAAGAATACAAAAAAAAAATCTCATTTGTAATCTGTCAAAATATAACATTTATGAC